AAATTTTTTTGAGGTTTCTATCAACCAGTTTTTCACAATTAGGTAGGTTGAGTGGGTGTCCAATGACGCACCTAGGCCTATAAAATTAAGAGTGAAAAAAAAAATTAATTATTATTAACCCACCCTAATAAGTGGGCTCTCATCTTTTCTTACGAAACGACTCAATACATTTTGATCGAAAGACTTATACCAAAATGCCTGAATTTCGTACCAAAGAACTTATAGTAGAGGCTGCGCAAGCAAAATCACCCAAGCAAACATAAACAAAAGTCAAGACTCAATCACCTTATTTGCAAAACAAACTACATGTGACCAGGTTATTATCCCAAAACTCAAAAAATTCCACGGGTAACCTAAACTAAAAATCAAATTCTACAGAGAGCTGTAAGCTTTTCTAGATCTCAACGTATATATGCAATTTAACAGTTTTTTATTACAAATTTAACAAAAATCAACCTTAAGAAGTTCTTCTTAAAACCCAGGGCAACAGTTTTTTGTGGTGGACATTTACAAAAACGCCAAAAAAGTATGTTCAACTATTTAATAATCAAAATGTTTTCCACTTTCCCTATCAACTGAATATGTCAAAAATTCATTTTGACCCAAAAACTACTACAGCTAATTCAAAAATTTCCGCCTAGGGTCTTCAAAATAGCACAGCCGCCAAATTTAATCACTTCTTGCTTTTATTGTTTTACAACAAGTTTGTGTCTTAAGTCGTTTGTTTTGCAAATAATTCTTTTTTTTTGAACTCAAGCAATGAATTTGTGTATATATGTATGTGTGCCTGTGTGTTTGGCGTTGCATTACGATTGTGCGCATCTGCAGTAGTCAAACAGGAAGCTGTCTGCTACCAAACTAATGTTGTTGCCGTTGGTGTTGTGGCCGTTGTTGTTGTTGCTGTTGTCATCATTAACATCTTCGTTTTGCGAACTTCAATTGCAATTGAGTTGATAGCGAAGGAAAAAGTGTATGTCGCTTCCTTGAGATTTATGTGCCATTGAATGCCACACAAGCATTTATTGTACGTATGTGTGTTTAAGTATAAGGTGTATATGTCCATATGTGCTTCGTTTGTACTTTGCAGCGTCTGCCTTCCGATGGCAGTATTCAAGCGCGCAGTTGTTCGATTTTGTCGACTGTCGGCAAGTGAGTTGCACAGTGTGGTCCCGTTGTTACCGCAAAGCAGATGCTAACTGTATTCGATTGTGGTGCTGATAAAATTGAGGAAATGAAATTTGATGAGGATTTTTTTCACTTGCGCTTATTTGCTTTTTGGCGCATAAATTCAAGAGGAATGCTTTCAATTTGATTAAAATTGCTTTATTTTAATTTTATTTCATTTCCGCATAGTAAGATTTTAATTAATTAATTGGATTACATGTTGTGGAATGCATTTATTTTAATTAACATAAAAAAGAAATAAATTATATTTATTTCAAGACAGATGTTAAAATTTTGAGTCATTCATGTCGATGACCATGTCTTCAACACAAATTTATTTAAAAAAATTCCACCAAAATAGCTAAGATTATCTAGATGATATTGTGTCAAACAAACAAACAATAAAAGAAAAAACGTTAACTTCGGTTGCAGCGAAGCTATAATATCTATCACAGATGCATTTCTGGTAGCATAAAAGGGTATACAAAGAACTTTATGATAAATGTGACCGGTCAGTTTGTATGACAGCTATACGCAGTAGTTGTCCGATCTAAGCAACTTTTACGGAAATTGTACTCTTGCCTTGATCAATAACAACATATTGTGAAGATATCTTGTCAAATAAGAAAGGTATACATACAAGAACTTGACTTTTTTCGATCAGTTTGTTTGGCAGCGATATGCTACAGTGATTCAATATCGGCTATTCTGACAAATAAGCAGCTTCTTAGGGAGGAAAGGACGTGTGCAAAATTTCAGATCGATATCTCAAGAACTGAGGCACTAGTTCGCGTATATACAGATCAATAGGCGAACATGGCTAAATCGATACAGCTCGTCAAGCTGATCAGTAATATATGTATATACTTTATATACTGACGTTTTCCTCTGGATGTTATAAACTTCGTAACAAACTTAATATACCATGTTCAGAGTATTAAACTGTTTCTTGGATCTCTCGCACGAAGAGCTTTTCCTATAGAGCTTTTTGATATGTATATATTCACCCAAAAACACTTAACAGATTACTTCTCTAATTTTGACGAGTATTAGCCATCAGGTGTATATACCAGTCAGACTGCTATATACACTTGAACCTTTCTGGGAACTCAAAAAGCTTTTCAAAAATCTAACCCCAATGAAAAGAAATTATCATTTAATAAATTTTAAAGTTAATTTAAAGTTTTGGCTTACAGATTTACCCTTCTTCTATTTTTCTAAATACTCATATATTAAATTTTAGTGCGATCTGTGGGAACTACAAAAAACTATATCAATTTAAAAAAAAAAACAATTTTAACATTTAGAGGGTATATTTATATATATCTTAAGAACACACAATACAATTTTTGTAGAAAACAAACGAGATCGAAGAGATCTCCAACGGCGCTCAAGCTGCAGTAATTCCGTACTTCTCCATGGATGGAAATTAAACAAAAATTCTCTACTAGAAGATATTTCCCATACAATGAACTGTGGTCGCAAAAACAAAACTTGATCAAAATACGACGTTTTTAGAAAAAAAAAGTTTAATATTACCGAAAATTTTAGTTTTGTTTACCAAAATTCGATTTTTGATTAGATAAAAAAACAGGTAGTGTATTATATAGGCCATGCAGAAAAAATTGATAGAGATCGAATCATTTCTTTCCAAATAATAAGTCAAGCAAATATGAATAGTAGTGTTTCGAAAAAAACTTGTTCAATGGTAAATTAATGGAACTGACTGAACTAAGTGGGTACACTTTACAAGGCAGTAACTCAAAAACTTTTTGAAATATCGGTTAAAAAAAATAAAATTTTAGTATGTTATTTTCAAAAGTAAAACCTAACGAAATTTGGAAAACAAAAATTCACACAAGGCCCTTAAAATAAAATAAAAATCAGTTATTTTACAATACAACGTTTGTAATTTATTTTTAATTCTCTTTTTTAATTTATGTACACATGTTACGTATATTTTTATACCTATGTATCGTTATATAAAAATTAATTTTTAGATTTAATTTTTTTTCTAAAACCTAAAAACAAAAACTATAACATAAGACTTACGCACAATTAGACCTTTAAATGAAAGATGATAGATATAATCGCGTAGCACTAAAATCATGTGAAAAAATCGTTGAATTTCAAAATAAAATAAAATAAAAGCATCACCTAATTTACAAAACAAAATTTTAAAAAAATGTATGCAGGTAAATTTATGTTATAACATGTATGTATTATAAAATAGGATAATAAAGTGATGTATAGCATCAAGACTACTTGTTGGCATGTTGAAAATAACAATGAGGAGCAGAAAGATAATATATAAATTCGAAACAAGACTCAACAAAACAAAGTGGTGCAAAAATAACGCGCGAAATTTGATGTTTAGCAGCCGAGCATGCCTCTACATATATATACAAAATGTGCGAAGGTGGCGCTCTGCCTTTATGTGGTGACTAATCCACAGCTAGAGCATAGAAGAGGATCAAGTGAATATTTACATACAACGCAGAGAGCTACGAACAGCTGAAACGTACATTTTCTTAACAATCATCTAGTCAGTCAGGTGTATTTGTTGTACGCACGCGCCACGCCACATTCGCATACTTTCTTTGTTTGAGCATGTGTCTTAATGCATACGCATACGCTTAATAAATTAGGTTTAATAATCTCAGGTCTCGTTGTAATGCGCTCAGTCCCAACCATGGCTAGCTTAGCACCCACACCTTCTCCCATACGGTTCCAGCGCTTCCATTCCTGCACTTTAACCTCCTTCCATACGGGCACTTATGGTAATACGTAACTA